TCGGATTCTGGAAGGGAAATCCAAACCATTGATCTTGTTGGAGTCGTGGAAGTCGACATCAGGTTTCCATTGCTCCACTGGTGGGATTTCAATTGGTCGGCATGTATACCCTTCGTTGACAGTAGAACTTGCTCCCGGGGATGACATAGGTCTCGGCGATCTCGGTGTAAAAGGATGACGTTGAGGTGCAAAGTTGGCATTGTTGGGAGGTGTCTGGGAAAGTGGAGGCGGTGTAGGTGGAAAAGGTGCCGTAGGTGGAGTCCATGGTGGGCGCGTTGGGAACGATGTAGCTGTAGGTGGCGGAGGCGGTATGCCGGACGGGTTCCAGAAAGGTCGATGGGTCGCCATTGCATAGTGCATCGGGCCACGGAACGCAGGTACTGCTTGGTGCCATCCATGTTGATGACGGGGAGGTGTGCGAGAGCGATCCGGCTGGGAAGGAGGAATTCCGTTCACGTCGGGGCTGAACTGGGAGATCAGGTCTTGGGACGCCATGATGTAGACGGAGCCACGAAATAATAGGTCAAAATAGGCTCGAAGGACCGACTGAAAGCTGCGGTGAAGGGTCAAGGTGAAACGAGGGTGGTGTGTGATTGAAACGGTGTGAAACATGGTACGTGGTCCCTGTGTGTGAAACGTAACGTGAAATACGACGCTGGCGCAAGGTGCAAAGATCATGAGCATGCAGCGGTTCACGAACCTTTTGAGGGAAGAAGTGGCATCAATACCGAATGTCGGGAGAAGCATTGTTACTCCAAAAAGATCGGGCGGGGCCACTAGGCTCACTGGATCGCTATCGTAGAATAGTCGACACTTGTTCCGGTGCTCCTCAAAGGTAAAAAGGTCACCAACGAGATCTGGAGTGGTATGTCGAGTGTCGAGAACGAGGTTGGCCTTCACGGTGTTGGTCTCGAGAGTGGCCTTCGTGATGGGAAGATCGGCGATCTCGACGGCTGTAGGTTGAGTTGTCCCAAGAGGCATTGTCGTGCCAAGATCGGCGAGCATGATCTCGAGAGCCAGACGCGGTGGTCTCGAGGTGGCCAGTTGTGTCTCGAGAGTCGTCTGGAGGTGGGTCCGTAGGTGTTGGTGCGTCGGCAGGAGGGTCAGGTCGTACTGGACGTGCAGGATCATCTGGAGGTTCCGAGGGTGGATTTGTCTCCGCTGCCTGGTGTGCGATCAAGCCCGGGAAAACCGAATGAGTGGAGGCAACATAGCATATGGATGCGGCGCTGGAGTTCATAGCCGTTGCATTGTCTTTGCCCTTGGCGATGCCCGCAAGGTTGCACAGGCGTTGAATTTGGTCATTTCCCCCAGCTAGTGCGCGGATGCATTTGGGTGAGCGACAAATGGCCAATAGGCCAGATGGGTTTTGTCCTTTCCCTATGCGATAGAGCTGAGAGGTACAGATCTTGACAGCATAGCCCGGCAGGGTGTCGATGTCAGCGATCTCAGAGGACATACCGAAGAACCCGTAACATGGGTATTGAGTCGGGACGCCGGCTTCGTTTTTTGTCCAAGTTGCCGGGCGGATGCAGTCTTCCGCGAGGATTTTGGCAACTGATTCCCAACTCGTTTTGTGGTAGATCAGGTAGGTGCCCATGTGCTCGCCACGATAGATCGGTTTCTTCCTCAATCCCGTGGGGACCGTGATGGTCAGCAGGTTCTCTGGCTCGATGTAGAATGCTTGGGTTTGCCTCGCAAGCTCGATGTCCAATAAGTTGGATTGTGCAAAGGCCCTGGCAATGTTCTTGACGGTGGCTTGGCTTGCTTTGATATAAATACGTTGGTTGTTGACGGTTCGATATGGTTGAGCCAACTGGTGGAACATCTCGTCAACGAATTGGTTGAAGAGCTGCAATATGGCCGGGGTCAATGATTGGCGTAGGGGCACGACATGGTCGGGGCCTAGCTCAGTCAAGCAGCGGACCCTAAGGGGATCATTGGCCGCCTCAACCATTTCACTGAGGTCGATGTCATTCGTGTCGAACTTTGAGATCGAAATTGTATCTGCCACCTCAGAATTTTCACTGTCGCCGTCGGGGACGCGGAAGGACACAGCGCCAAGTGGTGCTGAAGTGTGGGCTGGTGGGTTGGTAGGTGGTTCCGGTGGTGGTGGATCGGCAGGAGAGTTGGGTCGAGCAGTGTTGTGGTGGTAGTTGTCGGTGTAATGGCTGTCGTTCCATGTGCCCCAGGTGTCATCAGCGTCGGGAGTGGGAATGTAGGCTGGATTGGATGGGTGTGCAGCTGGTCGAAGTACGACTTCACGGCCTCTGGATCGGTGACGTGGTGTCGCGGAACGTGGTCTTGGGTGAGATCGATGACGTCGAGGAACCACGGGAGAGCGGCGTCTTGGCGGTGATCTTCGTCTGTATGGTGACGGGGTTCTGCGGTCTTTGGGATGTTTCGTGGATGACCGATAACGAGGAAGAGGAGAACGAGGTCGAGCTGCACGTTGGGGAGAATAGCGATGATGGTGGGATTGTACAGAAGGTCGACGGGAACGTGATCTTGGAGTCCTGGATCGTGGTCGGCGCGTTGGTGATGGTTGAGCGTGTAGGTGGTGAGGAGGAGCGATGGCTGGAACTGGGATGATGCGAGGGTCCGGAACGTCAGGTTCGGTGGGTCTGGCTTTCGGTGCAGGTGGAGGCATGGCAATAGGTGGTGGAGCTGTTGTAGGCAATGGTGTCGGTGGAATGGGGTTCGGTGGAGGTCCATCATGTTGGAGGAGTAGCTGACGTTGTTCTTGGGCTCGTTGGGAATCCATGATCAATTGTTGTTGAGCTTGAATAAGTCGAACCGATTCCGCAAGTTGTTGTGCAGTGGATCCCAGCGCTGCAAGTTCAGGTGAAACGGATGAAGTCGGTGCCGTCGTTGGTGCCGGTGGTGTAGCAGGAGGCGAGGCTTTCGGAGCTGATCGACGTGGTCTGTCCGTTTTCTTGTCAAAGCGAAGCCTGGGAGCTGCCTTAACTGTTGGTGGTGGAGGTTCATCTGGAGGGACCATCGCTGCGTCCGTCGGTTGTGGAGGTTGAATGTGGTGAGGTGGGTATGGAGAACTCGGCAAAGGTGTCGGTGGCGTAGTCGATGTAGGTGGTGTAGTCGACGTAGGTGATGGAGTTGGAGGAGAATGCCACGTGGGTGGAGCGGTGGGTGCCATAGGAGTCGGAAAAGTCGGTGGAGCGGTGTGCACCACAGTGGTTTCAGGAGCCATAGGTGTGGGCATAGTGGGCACAAGTTGTGGGCCTGGTACTGCATGAGGGGCCGAAGGCAATGAGGTAAATGGCAGTGAAGTTGGGGCTGATGAAGACCATGTAGGGTGCAATGGCGAAGGATGTCCAAATAGATGTGCGCTCTGCGATGATTGCGGCCACGTCGAGGACGGAGTCGTAGGCTGCGGTGGGGCAGGCCATGACGTCGGAGGAGTAGTCCACGGATACATCGCTCGAGTAGAACAAAACAGAAAGGAGAAATCACATGCAGGATTCAGTCCCTAAATGCCTAAAGGTCGTGCGATTATTCCCTGCACCGGGACCGTGGTAAGTCAAGCCCCAATTGGCATAAACGGCTTTCAAGTTCCAGCGAATTGGGTGCACAACATGTTTCACCTCACCAGAAAACCAAAAGGAAGAATACCACACCTGAAAGACGTGTGCCTGCCTGATCCAATCTCATGTAGTGTTGCAAAATGTCGCTGTGAAATTGCTGCAAAAAACGGAGGTTTCTGGCAGTTCGGCATGGCATCACTTGACAGAGTGCAAAACACTAGGATCCCTGGGACCACAGGAGCCGCGGGACATCTTCAAAGGTGCAAAACCGCAAGGCCAACTGTTTCGATTTACTTAGATGAATTACCAGCTTAAAATGTGTTAATTCGGCAGTCAGGTTAGTCGTCACTCACCCTAAAGAGGGTTGCCTCAAATGGCTCCATGGCACCATGTCGGAGCCACCATGGAAATCACACTAGACAAGAATGGATCATTATATGATCCGGCAGGAACTGAATCCTGAAACATGCAAACCAGCCTAGATCGTTAGATTAATAAAGGAGCCACATGAGGTACTTCTCGAAAACGATGTAGGGTATCCAATATTGTCAAACGGAGTTTTAACCAGAGTCCACAAAGTCTTGACCAGCATGTTGAAAATCCAAAATAATAATGTTTCGGCGATTGTTTCCCAAAATGACCCAAAGTTCATCGGCGACATGATCTCGGCGAAAATATGTCAAAAAATCATAATACTGTCGGCGACATGGTTTCGGCGAAAATCTGAGGAAGGTTCTGATGCATGCAATACAGATTGTGGCAACCGTGTAGATTCGAAACAACGCAGTGTAACAGCTTGGTCAACAGTTCAAACTGAGTTTTGCAGGTACAAGTGGTTGATCAGACCACTCATCCACCGAAATGCCATAGCTTCGTTGGACTGGATAGGCAAATCGGTTCCAGTCCCCCTGCAAATATGAAAAGAGTCCCTGCAAATGTGAAAAGATTCGAATCCAAGAAGTTTTACATCTGTTCAGATGTTACACACACACACACATTTCCCTCTGGTTATGTCAAAATAGCGAACTGTAAAATCACCATTATTAATGGGAAAATCCACTATCAATGGCCATTTTCAATAGCTATGTTAGTTTACCAGAGGGTTGGTGCTAAAATCTCTCATGGCAGTTGAAGAGAATTGTCCAATTCTGTACTGCCCGGCTTGGTCCAATGCTCCAATGGTCTCCGAAATCTGATTTCATCCACTACTTTTTACGGTGGTTTCTGGGGGGTGGGACTCATAAAAAGGGAGGTGGGACTACTATATATACCATGATATACCATATAAGTGACTATAACCATAGTTAATATACCATACTAGGGGGATTACCATTATTTCCTGTTGTAGAACTGGATATAGCTAGCAATCCCCACTCAATTCGTATGATTTCTTTGGGATCATCAACACGAGTGACTCGCCACGGACCCGCCCCCCCTCCACTTGGCCCCAAATGTGTCCGGCATCTTGTTCTTCGTCCTACAAGCGACAAACTGTTTACAGGGCGGAGTTTCATCATGGTGTAACCACCTGTAGTCCAGAAAGGTACCTCCATTAAACACAAACGCGAATGATCCATGGGACGAACATCCCAAAGTTAAGATAGGTCCCACACAAATGCCTCATGATTCTTGATTGGCTCACATCTCCATGAAACAAAATCAACATTCAAATCAAACAGGAAACATATCATGTCGGATTTCGTATGAGATTATATTATGATCTTCGTTGGTGAAATCGGTTTTCCATTCTGCACATTCCCACATTGCTTATCAATCTTATCATATAATCCCCATGCAAATCCAGGTAGGTTCAGTTTCACCCCTATATATCGTAACCCATCAACCATGGTTTTTTTTGGGATTTCTTCATGTCGGCCATGTCGGCAACGGGTTGGGTTTCTGCTTCAACCAAGTGTCATGAAGGTCAACATGCCTCGGGATTGCGGCGATTCCACGAGCGGAAATTCCCTCGTGATGTGACTGGAGACTTAAATCGGTTGATGCAACGTTTTTATGGCCACTAACAATGGTTTAATATGGTTGATATGGATATATATATATATGGATTATCAATGGTTAATATGGATTATCAATGGTTATTCATGGAAAACAATGGTTACTATGGATGATCGATGGTTATTCATGGTTAATGGGAATAACAATGGCAATAATTTTAACTGAGGTGCAGGCCAGGGGTTACTACTGAGTACAACACATTTGGATTCTAACAACTGCATCAATTGGGATATGGGGCCTCTAGAACTGTGGTCATACAGGCCCCAGTTACTTTGGTTCTGCACCAGGCATGGGGCGATTTAACCAGCGGATCAAACCAAAGCTCATCAAAGAGGGGGTCAATGTTAACACAGCTTTGGCAGCATATAGTGAAGCTAATATCTGGAAATTCTGGATTGTCGATGGAATGGCGATGATGATGCTGATTCTTCTTCTTCTTCTTACAATTATTATTACTGTCATGATTAGCATTACTATCATTAAATATCGTATATAGTTATTATTACTATCATTGATGATGATGATGAAGATGATGATGATGGGCTCAACGCCTAGAGTTTTCACTGTGGTTTTCACAGCGGTGGACCTGCAGCGACAGGATGTGAAAGTTTTGCCAATCCCGAGGTGATCAAACGTGGCTGGGAAATTTCCCCAGGTCGATGATTTTCCCTAGCTGGAAACCACTGAAACCACGATTTCTATCAGATTTCCCATTGCCATTTTCGATCACTGGAGGGGATATCCATTAATATCCACATCATTATCCCATGAATTTATCGCCATTAATCCATATGAAACCATATAAAATGGTTAGTAATTTCATATCATACCATAATCCTGTATAATAAAGGGATAAGCCATTAAAGGATAGCCATACTGCAAAGCCATACTATAAAATGGGATAAGCCATTAAGCCATAATTTTCCCACATCCTCCTTTTATGGGCAAAGCACCCAGCAGCGAAATGATCGAAGCAGCAACCCGGGGCATGACGAAGGCGGCAACCTTCGGGACATGGCGAAGGACAGATTCTTGTTTTGAGGATTTAGAGAATAATATGTATGTCTAGTATCTATTAGCTTTTTCCGTATTTATTAAAAAGTATATATGTTCATAGTATAGTATGAAATAGTATCTAAATTGTTTTGAAGTATCTGTTAAGTGTTTTTTTATATATATGGTGACTTTATGGTGGTTTAAACAACAACAATACGGATTTCACTAGCCAAAATGGTGATATGATGGGAATATCATGGGATAATCATGATGTGGACAACCCACCATGATAGGTAAAGAAATCACCACTCTAAATCTCAGGTTGAGAACGTCCATATGCAGTTTTCCATGAAGTTTTCAAAGTCCTTTAAATTCCAATGGATTTCTCAAAGTTTTGCTCAACATCCTCCCAACATGTCACTATCCTCAAGCTTATCCGCTCTCCGGCCATGGGGAAGAAGAAGACGCTGTAGGCCACGCCAAGAATAATAAAGGCAGGGGTCAAAATCTGCCTCCCAGCAGAAGCTGAGTTACCTCGGATGAAAAAATCCGGTTGGTTTCCCATTGAGTAACTGGAAGTCGCAAGTGCATTTGACGACGTTGTCACCGTGTACAACAGTAACAGGGAAATGCAATTTCGTGCTCGATAGCTACATAGAATTTGTCAGTGCCTAGTTCATGTACACGAAGAAACCACAGGAGTCGATGTACGACCATGTTCAATGAGAACAAATACGCAATATGAAACGACCATAGTAGGAATTGGCAGGGCCAAGATTCCGTGGAAGACAGTGCAGATACTAAGATCTAGGTTCACTGAAAGGACATCCGCAAATTTGGAAAGGTCCCATCACTTACCACACGGCACAAAAATGATGTATAGATATGTCCTACCCGGTCCTACCCTCATCTTTTACAAGGTGGGGCGCCAATTCGTAGCCAATGCTAAATTCGCAACTCCTATAGCTATTGTTTTATGTTTTTCTTTTTTAATGACAGATATATAACCAACAAACATAAATGGGGGGGCAGATTGCAGTTTAAGTGGAATATGTTCATGGGTACAAGTGATCTCCAATGCCAGTATGTAACGGATAGAATTAATCTTGAATAGATTTGGATTGTATAACATTAATTATACCATATTTTAACCATCACAGCTATATAACCATGGTACAACCACAGAATTCAACCCCAATTTTTTCCATCATCAACCATTGATCAACAACAATGGTCTTCCTCAGGCAGCACCGCAGCACCGAGTTGCGGCGGATCTTGATCTCCAAGACACCTCGACTCTTCACCTCGACTCGGCAGTTGCGGCGAGCGGCGCAGTGGGACTTGGGATGTGGGTTTTCGGAAAGCCATGGGATGTGGGTAGCTATAGATTGTGCTGGAATGAATTGCTGGATTCTATAAAAAACCTGTTTTATGAAACATCAGTGGGACTTAAAAACATCTCTAATTCGCTAGAATGCCAATGGCTTTTTTGAAGAAATGTGGTCCTGAATAGTGCCAATATCTGCGCCTAAATCAAAGAAAACTCATTTGGTAGGGCTGCCTTTTGAATCTAGGCATGACTATGGATGGCTAGAAACTTTAGCAGAACATATACCTCAACCTGGATCTCATGAGACTTTCCGAAAAAAAAACAGAGAGGATGCCCAGCAGGTCCTGAGGATGCCAGTCGCTTTGGTTACAAGGACGGGCCACAGCAATAATGTTTGTTTGTTTATAACCCCCATCAACTACTGTATATACATATATCTGTCATATCTTGTCACAAACATTCATAAACCATAGTTATGCTATTTCTCAACTTAACTATTTCATTCTATTTCTCCATTTTCACTACAAAAAGCCGGCAAGTCGAGACTCACAAACAAACGAGACTCAGTGCTTTGTTTCAGTGGTTTGAAGCACAACAGATCAGGGGTCACACCAGTGGGCCGTCGGATTCTTCGAAATTGTCGATGGTGTAATTGGGCTTTGCTCCTGAAAGGCTTCGGATATCTTCATGATACACCGAACACCGAAGATACCACTGACCACCATTAAAACCACCGCGTGTGGTATACACAACTGTTCCAAGTTTGCAGCAAACATAAATTGATGACATTTTCCAATGCATCATCTTGGAGACCCTGCAATCAAGCAGATTTTTCGCCGGGCATTGGCTCAAGATCGATCAACCAACCTTCCGAAAGTCGATTTACCCTCAGGGTTTCAGTTTGATGCGGGCTGGTTTCAGCACCCCGAAGAATATACGATTCATTTGGAACAATAGTACCAGCAGATCTACAGTTTTGATAGCTTTTCATAGTAATGATTGCAGAATGGGTGGCGTCAGCAAGAAATTGTCTGCGGACAATTGTCATGAAAGGAGGCCTGGACGTCCTCAAAACCATTTCAGGGTCTTTTTGTGGATAAGAAAACGCCAAGTCAAAGGTACAAAGATGAACAAATTGATGACCTCAAACCCAAATCAAAGAAATTTGATCTTCTGAATCCATAACGGCATAACATATTAATCAATATGTATTCTAAATCCACCACCGCATGATTCTTTTTATCATGGGAATGATCCAATGCACATGATCCAACCATCAACAATTCATCTGGGCAAATTAGGACATTTCAAAGAACTGACATAACAAACAATTCTGCGATCAGAATTACCATCATTTATATAGTGAATCTGCAGTGAGGCTAGCCACAAATTCCATTCATTAGTCATAGATTCCTCCAAGTCTGACGAGTTTCGTTTGGAGATTCCCCAACTACCCCGAAATGGTTCACTTCAGGTCCTTCCACACCAGTGAAGCCGCTACCTCTGGTGGAGCAAAGAAATGCGGATAGCCTCTGTTAAACTAACATAGCGAACTGGAACATCACCACTTTTAATAGCTAAATCATCTATTAAATGGGGATTTTCCATAGCAAAGTTAGTTGACTGAGGGGTAGCAAGGATTTTTATCATTCAGCGTGGCGGAAACATCGGCCGCTTGGTGGGTGCTTGAGCCACCTGAAGATTTTGGACGAAATTGGGAGCTTCGTCATGAGGGAATCCCCATTATCACCATGGGTTTCAATACGAGTCGTCATGGTCCATGACTTGGCTCCCATGACAAACCGGAAAGCCACAATGGGCAAATGTCATGAGCCCATGAGCCCATCAAGTCTTTGAGGAGTCCTCGGCAAATGTCTCTGAAAACATCTGAAAACACTGTGTATCGTCATGAAAACATGAATCTCTTGTATCAGAATTTAGAATCAATATATATATATATATCAATATCATTTTTTGTGGCCACATGAATCAAAAGACCTAAAGTAGATCATTCGCACTTTGATTTCCAAGATCCCACTATCACCATGTTTTTTTTTCAGCAGTTTTTGTACCAGCCTCACCTACACCCACCATTGGGGTATCAACCAAACTAATCCCAAAAGCATCTGAAAAAACCAGGATAAAGGTTGCGACCATGAAGTAAATCTGTCCAAGAATAGATCCATTTTACTCATTTTACCCAAATATTGCGGATGGTTTGGCTTCATTTTGGCCAAATTCCGATATGCAGATCTCTAATGTATGTAATTCCCAGCATTCTCTGGCTTAAATCGTTATTTCCCCAGGTATTGCGACTACAACCTGCCAAACTACCAATAGATCATATTGCTGGTTGTGAAGTCCACTATCCAAATTATATCCTGTGATATCCTTGTGACCAAACACCCCATACATAGCCCATAAATGCTTGGTCAAAAGGTTCACCCTGTGTCACATCGCCATTATATGGCTTGTATCTATGTATGTATATATATATATCTTAAATGTATGCATTTGTACTAATGGTTAATACTACATCTATTTATTTTTTGTTTATATCCCGATGACATATGTCCACATTTATTAAGCAGTGTTCAAAACCCTCTGTGGTCCCTTTCTACTGGCTGGTCAATAGGATTTTTCATCCGGATGATGATACTCCCCAATATATTGATATATTGGCTAATACAATCCCATATAATCATCAACTAGCAGGGGTTTTGAACACTGCTCATATGTAAATATACCAAGACATATTATATATATATGAAACATGAAAAAACACTATATGATGTACAGGAACCATATGGACAAAAATCACTGTTTGCAAAGCACCATCCATATATATTTGGGTTTTGCCCCCAAGAAAGATATCAGAACTTCCCCAGGAAGCTGAGTCCAGGTGCCAAGTAGAACATCATCCTTCACCTAGGAAGCAGAGGGTCAAACCTTCAGACTTACCATAGATTAACCATAGATTAACCATAGATTAGCAGAACTTACCCCCAAAATTGACGATCCACCCATTTTCGCAGCTTTTTAAACATATTAATTACCCTGTGGTTATGACTAACAGTTTGGCCATGGAAAGATCCACCCATTTGCCAATTTTTAAGTTTGGAAAAACATCTATTTCTATGGGCCATCTATACCATGGCTATGTTAAATAACCAGAGGGTAGATCTAATTTTTGGAGATTTTTGGGGTATCTTGGGGCGCTAATCATGGTGCCTTTTCGGCGGGCTCATCCGATCTCGGGATAGAGATCCCAACCAGCCGTCGATACGTAAACCAACTAGCAGCTATGGAAAACTCACCATTTGTAGATCATTTTCCAAGGAAGCTCATGGGATTTCCATATCTCTGTTTGTTAAAGGGCATGTTAAGCCATGAAAGGTTGAACGATGAGAGGTTAGCGCCAAGACTTAGTGACTTTTGCCCGCTGTCACTAATTACCGGTTCTAAACTCTGGTGAGAAAAGTCTGTTTTTTTTTACCAACGAAAGACGGATTTTCCCTACGGCTGCGGTCAGGTCACTCCAGTCACTTTCTGGTCCGTATGTGGGTTCAGCACCTGCAGATGCTGAGGTTTCGGAATCTGGTGCGTGACTCGTTGTCTCAACGACACAACCTGCAAGAAAGTGTACATGTCTTGCTGGACTCGTTTCCACATTTAGTTTGATGATCTTCCCGATAAAACCATGGTAAAACCATGGTAAAACCTCAATGATCCAAGCCATGTTTTTTGGGATTTCCCCCGCTGACGCTAGCTAAGCTGACTTGCAATCTTAGTTGACTACGGTGACTGTGGGGATACAACTGATATAACTATCATCTTCATGGGGTTTTCTTTGGGTGAATGTATGGCAACTGGGGTTTTTCTATGGGGTTTTTCCATGGGGTTAATATGGGTTAATAATAACCAACCTATTTGATGGTTCGGAAACTCGATTCGTAGCTCCTTGGCTCCCCATCGAATAGGGAATATATAGGGAATAAAAAAAAACCCCTAGCTCCAAATCGCTCCCTCCTAACCACTGGATAGCAACATAAAGCACTTTAAGTTCTTTCCGGCCCGGGCCTAGACTTCCTAGACCCCAAGTGGCCCGGGCACCAGTTCATCTGCCATCAGCTTTTCGGAGGCTAAGATGACTTTCAGCTTCTGCTGATCAAATGGAAAGGCCTCAGCTGCTTGGATGCTGAAAACTACATCTGGTTGGTGGTTGAGCCCTACCCCCCTGAAAAATATGGTAATGAACCATGCTATTTTTTGTAAACCAGGTCAGTATATATTGGATAATGACACCATATTATGCAATATTAACCATATGATTTTCAGAACTAACTGTTTGTTATCAACCATGGTGATTGGATCATCATCCCAACTATTCGGGAAAATAAAAGTCATGTTCCAAACCACCAACCAGCACATGGATATACCCGTGGTGACTCAACCTTGATAAGTTGGGATATGGGGCCCTTATAACTATGGTGAAGAAAATATCTGCTTAGAAGTGGAACTGCACTTAGTGGTGGAAGCGATACAGTGAAGATTTGGAAAACTATTGATGTTTATATTGAATGGACACCGATGCTGGTGAAATAGTAGATTACTATGGTTTTCTAGTATATTCGAGTCATGTCTAATCTTAGATACCTTTTTTAAAAAACGATTTTCTTCAGAGATCGCCCAACTTAACCCGACATTGGGAACCAACATCAAACTGACACCCCCGGGCCCCATGTAGATATGGCGGTAGCTGGACCGTACCATGAATACAGCGCAATTGGTTCTACGGATTGCTGTCCCCAATGCTGGTGAGCGTAAAGCTCCTGCTTTCTACCATGGTTTTTGGAGGCTGTTCAACAATATATATATATATTTATGCATATTTATATATAATAAATATACCTGGAAACCATTATTAATACAATAATTGCTATACTATAATAACATAATAACAATAATGTAGCAATAGTTAACATACCATACTAGGACTTATCAACAAAGGCTACGGCTAGAGCTAGCTCCTAATGGAATGGATTGATGACCCTCCCCCACCATTAACAAACATCCAGTTTTGACAATGGCACTTATTAGGCTAACGTTGAATATATCCTATCATCAAATATCATCAAATATCATCACATATCATCAAATATCATCAACTATCATCAACTATCATCACATTAATCCAATTCTATCCCACTTCCGCATCCATTTTTTTGTTGCTTCAACCCCATGAGATTTTCACAAATCCCCAGCCGCGCGCTGGTGGCCCTTGGTCGCCCCAGTAGCTTTGGTGTCGAAATCGCTGGTCATGGTAGCCAGGATCCGCTCCACCTGGTGGCATTTCTCGAACATTTGGCCGGCGACTGGGCGACTTGGTGGCGGCACGTCGTTTCGTGTGGTTAATGGTGGTCAATGTATGATAATATCCATTCATTCATGGTGCTTAATAAATGGTTCATATCTACTAATTCCATCTAATATCTGGTTGGTGGTTGGTATACCCCCTCTGAAAAATATGACAAATGTTTGTCAGTTGGGATGATGAAATTCCCAACTGAATGGAAAGTCATCAAATTCATGTTCCAAACCACTCAGATATGGATTTCGCCAAAAAATTGGGGATTGACTTACTGAAAAGGGGGATTTACCCATTGGAATTGGGGAGGAATTGACCCACCCTGGGGATTTCATGGACTTCTGATATTCGGTGATCGACTGCGACCAGGTCATTGATGGTGACCGGAGTTTTTGTAGCTGGCCCACCTTTCCTAAACCCGCAACCAGCAATGGACCATGATGAAGCATGAAAATCTCGATGTATCATGTGGCAAAATACCTGGGTGCCCATGATTTTATCTCCCAAGATCAGTGATTTCATATGATTTCATAGTCTCGCATCGATCTTCCCCCTTGTTTCTTCCCATTGAAATTTCCCATGGGAAATCAAGCAATATCACAAGTTGATCCACATCCCCACATCCCCAGGGCTCCCCAGGGCTCCCACATCGGGCCTTAGTGGCGCGACCGTCCTTCCAGACTTTCACGGAACTGGAAATGACTTCCAGGTTTCGGAAGTCTCGGTTGGTCACCTTAGCTCTGCCAGGTGGCAGCGACCCCCATGATTTTTTTTGAGTCAGATTGGATCATCATCCCAACTTTTGGGGAAAATAAAAGTCATGTTCCAAACCACCAACCAGCAATAATAGGGGTGAAATGTCCATGGTTGTTGATAAACTATATAATTATATATATATATAATGTTCTCAGATATGTTCTCAACCGTTGTAACCATTGGGATTATCAAAGGGTTAACTATTAATCAGGGTTAACGAAGAATGGGGTGTCATTTATGGTGAATTTTGTGGCTTAATACGGGTTTTCATAACTGTCATGAATCTATTCACGGTTATTAATGGTTATCAATGGGTTATTAATGGTTATGCATGGGCATCTGGTTGGCCGTTTCAACCCCTCTGAAAAATATTATATAGTCAGTTGGGATGATGAAATTCCCAATAATTATATGGGAAAATAATAAACGTCATGTTCCAAACCACCAACCAGAATCAATCATCAAACATCAATGATATCAACCAGATCATATTTCACACCTGAGTTTTCCCAAAGCTATGGATGATGTGATTATATAAATCACCATTTTCCCATGGTTTTCCTATGGTTTTCCCTTAAAAAATTCAAACCATGGCCCTTTGTTCATCAAGACATGGGGCTATTCCCATAGTTGTTGCCATAGTTACACCCATTAAGTACCATAGTTATAGCATGTTATACCCACTAAGTACCATAGTTATACCCATTGAGTCATTACCATAGTACTATAGTTATAGAATTCTGGTATCATAGTTGAGTCATTACCATAGTTAAGTACCATAGTTTACCATTAATTGTAATTACCATAGTTATACCTATGGTTTATAGAATTACAATTCAAACAAGCCCAGTCCTTTCTTCTGCCCAGTCCTTGGTGCCCAACACCGATGTCTGGAAGCCAAATGATCTTCCTGGCGGGCTGAGGCTTACTCCAGAACTCTGAACAGTTTCGTGTGGATACTGTCTGGTAAATATACAAAAAAACTATGGACAATCACCATTTATAGTGGATTTTCCCATGAACAATGGGGATTTTCCATAGTTATGTTAGTTTACCAGAGGGTGGGTCTGCCATGACATTTGGAAAGCTCGGAGATTTTACCCCAAACTGGGAATTTTAGCCAACACGTATGGTTTTTTTTGGAACCTAGACTTCGAGACATCGACAGAAAGATGGTAAATGTCAGCCTCAAAATGAGTTTATTACCAAGTCAACTTTAGGATAGCTAAATTGAAGGTCCCGTTTTTTTAACACACCCAAGGTCTATGAGATCTATGTGCAAGATCTGAATCTCATGGAATCTCCAACTGAGTTGGTTCTGGCACATATTGCGATCACAGTACCCCATGGCAATGTAGCACCTTCGAAAAGAATCCTTCCAAAATGAGCCAGGGAACTTGCCAAATCCACAGTTCCTTGCTTGACTGCCTGCTTTCCCTGCCATTTCATCCCCTCATCTCTACCAATTCGATTCGGAGTCTTGGCAAAATGATCCATTCGAACATTCAGCAAATCTGCCTGTCTGGGAACTTCTTTGTTGGACACCCATAGTTTTTAGTACATCTGATGCACAAAAAAAACACATGGCAATTGTCCCCTTTTAGCGATGGTGATTCACGGTGATTCCATGTTGATTTTTTTCCGAACAAAAAAGGTCAATTCATAGGTTTTACCGACATGGTAAACATACAAAAAACTATGGAAAGATCCACCATGCTATCAATGGGAAAATTCACTATTTCTAAATGGTCATTTTCAACAGCTATTTGTATGTTTACCAGAGGGTATATCCCATTAATATCCCATTAAATCACTATAAAAAATCCCATTAAATCACTATAATATCCAGAGGGTAACCCATCCCCATCTGTTTGTCCTGGCTTCTTCGGTGGCCATCCGTGTCTCGTCTTGGCCCTCCGGAATGGCCTCGAAGACGTTCGGAAAGGATAGTAATGTGGTTAAAACAATGCCATAAACCACCCATTTGGGAATGTTTTATAGCACCTATTTATGATGATTTGCGGGATGGTTTATTAGTGTTTTACACACATTATAGTATATTGTAATCCGATTACTGGGTATTCCGATCTTGATATAATATGTATACATGTATATTTGTATTCTAAATTCTTCTGAACTACTTGGTATCATGCCGCGTGAGGACATCAAAATCGGTTCAATTATTCATTTGCTAATTATTTCTGCCTATTGTCTTAAACCACTGCTTTATCCTGGTGCAATGTATGGAATATCTTCATTTTAGAATCTCCCAAATATGGGGTTATCGGAGTACAGCATTCCCCCTTGATCAACCAATTCCAGCAGAGATACAGTCAAACATGGGAATTGTGCGTTCCTTTTTCAATAGGAAACACTTCCGCCATAAGTATGCATATATATATATATATGTATATACATATTTTGTATATATAATATATACATACACATTCTCACATGTATAATATATAGTTATACAGTTATATATGTATATTATTCATACACATATGATAACATGCGTACATAAAAACCAAGGGATTTCAACTTTGCCAAGCTAGAAAGGTCACCACAACGCTTCCGCCTGGCTTGCTGCTGGATCGTTCCAACTAATCGTGACCACCAAATCTCCTGTCGCACCGTCAGAGAAGTGATCTCCCATTTATCATCTCCGAGCCTTATGAGAAGTGATTTCATATCCGATTTTACTATATATGGTATATACGGTGCCAACTATATATGATCAAATTTAACTATATATATTAGTGATGGATACCCGGCCTAGTAAACACACAAAAAGCTGTTGAACATGGCTATTTATAGTTGATTTACACATGAAACATGGTGATTTTCCAGTTCGCTATGTTAGTTTACTAGAGGGTAACTGGGAAAAAACAATTCCTCCAATTTCTTGACAATTTAAGATGCCTTCTATAACAAGTGTCCCAGTGACCATAGATTTTTGTCCAAAACCTCGAAGTTTCACACGCCTTGGATGGTTGGGACTGGGACTGGGACCACCAAATGCGAAGAAACCTGGCACCTGGCACTTAAGACTTTACCGGTCATATCCTATGACAATGCAGTTAATCCATGTTAATCCATTAAGAATCCATGTTAACCCATTAAGAACCCATGTTAATCCATGTTAATCCATTAAGAATCCATGTTAACCCATGTTAATCCATGTTAATCCATGTGAACCCATTAAGAACCCATGTTAATCCATTAAGAATCCATGTTAATCCATGTTAATCCATGTTAATCCATTAAGAATCCATGTTAATCCATGTTAATCCATGTTAATCCATTAAGAATCCATGTTAATCCATGTTAATCCATGTTAATCCATGTTAATCCATTAAGAATCCATGTTAATCCATGTTAATCCATGTTAATCCATTAAGAATCTGGCCAAATTACTTTAATTCTTACCTCGTCTCCCTCGTGTCTTAATTTGTTCCCCATGATTACTGTCCTCGTTCGTTAATTTGCAGGTGCAAATTAAGGCTTTACCTCGTTAATTCGAAGGAAGAAAGTAGCTTGTGGGCCTTCTTTCCAGGGTCCAACCCCAAGGAAAAAAACTTTTCAGCTTCCGAAAAGTTTTTTTCCACGATCCACGGTCTCTTGCAGGGATTTTTAAATCTGAGTCTGATCGGTCTTTGCGCTTCTTGCGCTTGGGTGGTGACATCTCTGACATCATCGCAGAGATGCAATGCTCTTCTGGAGCAACTCTGAATGCTACTGCTTCTGCAGCCGTCAACCCACGAAGCGGGCCTCTGGCGATAGAAAATAAAACTTTTTGGGGCCTGAAAAGTTTTTTGATCCCTTCCTTGCCTGCTGACCGGCCTCTGGCGATAGAAAATAAAACTTTTTGGGGCCTGAAAAGTTGTTTTTCCTTCCTTGCCTGCTGACCGGCCTCTGGCGATAGAAAATAAAACTTTTTGGGGCCTGAAAAGTTTTTTTTCCTTCCTTGTCTGCTGACCGGCCTTGCCTGCTGACCAGCCTCTGGCGATAGAAAATAAAACTTTTTGGGGCCTGAAAAGTTTTTTTTCCTTCCTTGCCTGCTGACCGGCCTCTGGCGATAGAAACTTTTTGGGGCCTGAAAAGTTCTTTTCCCTTCCTTGCCTGCTGGCCGGCCTCTGGCGATAGAAAATAAAACTTTTTGGGGCCTGAAAATTTTTTTTTCCTTCCTTGCCTGCTGACCGGCCTCTGGCCCCCAAAAGAGTTTTTCTAGCCCAAGCATGCAACAGACCCAATGCAAGGCTACCTCGTCGAGGTCGGCTAATTCTGATGAGCAAATTAAGGGCTGACCTCGCTAATTCCTGCAACCTGCCTCGTTGCCTCGGCTGTCCTCGCTATAATTTGTGCAGAAGAATCCATGTTAATCCATGTTAATCCATTAAGAATCCATGTTAATCCATGTTAATCCATGTTAATCCATTAAGAATCCATGTTAATCCATGTTAATCCATTAAGAATCCATGTTAATCCATGTTAATCCATTAAGAATCCATGTTAACCCATGTTAATCCATTAAGAATCCATGTTAATCCATGTTAATCCATGAAGAATCCATGTTAATCCATATGAACCCATTAAGAATCCATGTTAATCCATGTTAATCCATTAAGAATTCATGTTAATCCATGTTAATCCATGTTAATCCATTAAGAATCCATGTTAATCCATGTTAATCCATTAAGAATCCATGTTAATCCATGTTAATCCATGTTAATCCATTAAGAATCCATGTTAATCCATGTTAATCCATTAAGAATCCATGTTAATCCATGTTAATCCATGAAGAATCCATGTTAATCCATGTGAACCCATTAAGAACCCATGTTAATCCATGTTAATCCATTAAGAATCCATGTTAATCCATGTTAATCCATGTTAATCCATTAAGGATCCATGTTAACCCATGTTAATCCATGTTAATCCATGTTAATCCATGTTAATCCATTAAGAATCCATGTTAATCCATGTTAATCCATGTTAATCCATTAAGAATCCATGTTAATCCATGTTAATCCATTAAGAATCCATGTTAACCCATGTTAATCCATTAAGAATCCATGTTAATCCATGTTAATCCATTAAGAATCCATGTTAATCCATGTTAATCCATGTTAATCCATGTTAATCCATTAAGAATCCATAGTCAATCCCATAAAAGCTGAAATTTGAGATTAATGGCATTGGGCTTTGCCACATCATCTGGTTGGTGGTGGTTAATATATGGTTAATATATGGTTAATATATGGTTAATATATGGTTAATATATGGTTATTATATGGTTATTATATGATGGTTATTAGGGTTTCGGATGACATCCCATATATGAAATGGAAAATATTCAAGTCATGTTCCAGTCACCACCAAGCAGTAATTATTGGATATCATCCCAACATATCCCAGTTTGAAACCACCAACCAGTCATGGGCCTTTTACCATGTTTGATGGGCCATCCAAAGTGCCACACCTATATCGCCAAAGTGGCTCCTGTCCAGGTCTTTTGCAAGACATCGACGTCGAAGACCCGCCTCGCCATATTCGGGGGACCTTCAAGGTATCCCTCTGGTTGATGTGGTTAATGTATGTTGATATCCATTCTAATGGTGCTTAATAAATGGTTAATATCTACTAATTGCATCTAATTCTGGTTGGTGGTTGAGCCCTACCCCTCTGAAAGATATGACTTCGTCAGTTGGGATTATGACATTCCCAATATATGGAAAGTCATAAAACATGTTCCAAACCAATATAAAAAAATGTCCTTTCGGTAAAAATAGCTTTTTTTGGCCGGTGACTGGTTAATCCCATCATCATTTACCTGTTTTTCAGGGGTAAACCTTCAAACCATTTCAAACCCCTCTATTTAATCAACTCATGGGAAAAGGACATCTATGTGACCAATTTTGGATAAAATAAATGGCAGTTGGTTTGATCTGGGTTAATTATGGGATAATCATGGGATAATGATAATATACCCTGGATATACAGCCAATATATCCAATATATCAAAGATATAATGAATATACCCATATCAAACATATAATCCCAGCTATTATAATCCCATCCCATGGTATCATAATCATGGGATGATTTACATTGATCTACCATCCCAGCGGTAAGCCGTTAGAAAAACCCGTTAGAAAAACCCGGGAAACTCCATATCCAATGGGATGATATGGATATACCCTGCGGTAATCAAACATGGCAGGGAAGTCACCCAGCCAATTGGACCTTCTGTCAGAGCTGGGAAAATCATCGAACTAAATGGCTGTGGCATTAGCAAATCATGTTTACCGCAGGGTATATAATTATATTAAATTATATATGTATATATATATATCAATTGACATTAATCATTATATATTCATATTTTCCATTACAGTATAAACACATTGTAATTGGTTAGAATGAATTAGATTCCCATTGAAGAACAAACTATCGATTATTGTCCATATTTTCCCATTTAAAGTGGATCTCCCCATTCAAAAATTCATGTGTGGCCAAGAGCGAAAGTGTTGAAAGTTCGCCTTCACCCAGGCTCATGCTCCCCCAACTAGGCATCCTTAGAAGGTGAGTTTGGTCTAATAGGGATAAGAACTGATATCTTCAGATATTTCAACTACCCTCTAGTTATGACAAACATAGCCATGGTATAGATGGCCCATAGAAATAGATGGTTTACCGTTCTTGAAAATGGGTGGATCTTTCCATGGCAAACTGTTAGTCATAACCAAATGGTATCATGTGCAATGACGAAACTGTGATAGCTCCATAAATGACGACTTACTCAAGCTCCAGGTCGCCAATAAATTCTGGATTTTCAACAAAAAGTAGTAGCAACCTTGGAGGAGATAGACTATCTGTCAAGCATTTGTCTTTATGCATAGTCATAGTCTATGAATTTTCGCGCACGTAGTTTGTTGACAATATATAGCCAAGTTGACGTGATGCACATAAGTTGGTGAATGTTATGGTTTATGGGGGAGATCACATATAACCAGCTAGAGTTTATGATGTTTATGGTTATGTATGGTTTATAAGTTGGTGAATGTTGTTATGGTTTATAAACCATTCATATAACTTAAAAACCAGTTATAGTTATGTTGGTATATAGAGTTCATGGGTGTAAGAAACCAAGAACGTAACTGGGGGGCACCACCTCGTCGAAATGCTGGCGAAATGCTGGAACAACACATTGAGGTCATGCTAACCCCATGTTCCCAATCCATTCTTTGAAGAGGTTCCAATGTGGAACATGTACCCTCTGGTAATTTAACATAGCTATTGAAAATGGCTATTTATAGTTGATTTATCCATTAAAACGATGATTTTCCATAGTTATGTTAGTTTACCAGAGGGTAAAGTGAGCCATATTCAAACTTTGTTTTGGATTATGATTTGCTTGATCTCCCCCGACTCCTACTACTAGGATGCCAAAAATGACGTATAAACTTCATCCTTTGTCCAACACGGGGTGCCAAATTGATGCCGCCTTCCGCCTTGGGCCCAACTTCTTTTCCACACCATTGGACGATTGGATTTTAGGAGTACCCCATTTAAGCGGATCATATCTCAAACCATCTAGGAGTGGTTATACCTCATTGTTTTCAAACGTTCAAAGATCACAATTTGCTTCTGGTTGGTGGTTGACTAACCATCTTGAAAAATGATGGAGTTCGTCAATGGGAAGGATTATCCCATATATGAAATGGAAAATAAAATTCATGTTTGAAACCACCAACCAGTTTCTTAGTTGTCCTCAGCATCCTGGAATCTTTTCCATTGCCCCTGGGCTCCCCATTTCTGGCGCCTACAAAAAATCCCAAACCTCAGCGGAAGGTCAACCAATTTGGGATTTGATGACATGATATGGGTATTTATGGGGTTTAATGGGGTTTAATGGAGGTTTAATGGAGTTTAATGGAGGTTTAATGGGGTTTAATGGAGGTTCAATGGAGGTTTAATGGGATTTAATGGGATATAATGGGATTTCATGGAGGTTTAATGGGGTTTAATGGGATGTAGTGAAATTTAGTGATATACCCTCCGGTAAACTAACACATAGCGATGGAAAATGGAGCATATGGAACATAGAAATAGTTGATTTACGGAACTTAATAGGGCATGGTGATGTTCAATCGTTTTTTGAATGTTTACCAGGTAAATCATCATTTTCTTAGTTTTTTCCCATCATTTTCCTAGGTTTTCCTAGTTTTTCCCCAGTTTTCCCAGGCCGGGTATGTGCCACTGTCAAAATATGCTAGTTGCTTCCACTGGACATCTATCCCGTTGAGGACATCCCATTGAAAAATGGGTCAAAAAAAATCCACCAAAAAAATGGATTGATGACCATCCCCCAAGCACTGGGTACTTTGCCCAAGTTTCGACTTTTAAGCGTTTTTTTACACTCTATTACTCTATTCCATCTGTTTTCATGAGATGCTACTATAGGGGGTATCAAGCTGAGTATACATACGTAAATATGTACCTATATTTATATGGATAGATGGGTGTACAACCCCCTAAAGGAATTTTCATGTGGGCAAGACCACCCCCTTCCATATTGGACAAGACTTTAGCCAACTGAATCATCAACTGACCAGTGTTGGGTATTTATATAAGCTTTAACCAACAATAATGAAGATTGATGCCATTGAGTCTTACGAAGATTCACCCCAATCAATCTGGAGAAATCCAAAGAATGCTTTTTATCCTCAATCATTTGGGATATGATGGACGTTAGGTATGGAGATGACTATCATGGCTGGCACTTTTACGGACCTATGGATAATTCAGATGCCATGATATGGAAAGCCATGCCACCCAGTTCTCAACGGCTTGGGAAAGGCGGGGTATCCCAGTAGCTGGATGTTTTTTTCATGGAAAATCCAACTCAAAATGATTTTGGAGGTAGCACTATTTTGGGAAACCACCCGTTTGCACAACATTTATGTTGTTCATGCTACGCATGAAACTAAGTTGCGTTTCAAATTGGTGAGACAAATCATCAACCTCAGTAACAATAACATACGTACAATAATCACATGTTGGTTGCTTCAAAAGACCCAATTTACGATTTTTATGGTAACTTATAACAACGTATGGCAACCCCAAAATAGATAGAACAGTGGAAAACACATGGACATAATGGACATATGTATGAAATATCATCTAAAACCTCCTGGTTAAACACTTCCAACTTCTGGGGTTTAGATGTCTCCCATGTTCACCCAATTGCACCGCCCAAAAATGGTCCTCCTCCCATCTTTTCAGGCTCGATTAAGACCAGGCGCATAACTTCCCTCAACCCCAGGGTCTGTTCTGTTTGAACTTGCGCCAGGGAGGCGTCGAAGATACCTGGACCATGGACTGGAGGATGGACTGGCATAGTTTGGGAACTTTTAACGGAGGCCTTTTTGTGAAATGCTGATGGGGGAATTTTATAAACCCTAAGTCAAGATACGATTACCCTCTAGTAAACTAACATAGCTATGGAAAATGGATGATTTATAGTTGATTTACCCATTGATAGCATGGTGATTTTCCATAGTTTTCCAAAGTTATGTTAGTTTACCAGAGGGCAACTAGAAATCAACCGCATCCATCCCTATGATCGCAGAGAGATCACAACCGTTTTTTCGCTAGGAAAAACCCCTCCAAAAATGTGAGGGCTTCATCCATGGCTTTCTGACGTCGAGGATGTCCCATCTTTTGACCATAAATTGGGGGAAAACCCCTCCTTTTTTTCGTGACTACCCTCTGGTAAACTATGGAAAACTATGGAAAATCACCATATTTTATGGGTAAATCAACTATAAATCATCCATTTTCCATAGCCATGTTAGTTTACCAGAGGGTAAGCCGCTTGTTGATGAACAATCAAGAATTCATGGGTTGAAGGAAACATGACAGTTGAAGTCCTGCTTGATACAGCTGGTTTGGGACTAATCTGGTGCCTGGTGATTCGAAGCAGGGTGTGTAATCGGAGTGTGTGAATCACTACATCCAGGGCTTCATTCGTCAGCGCTTGACATTTGGGGTTTTAACTTTTAACGGCCAAACCCACGAATCCCGGGGCTAAACTTTAGTCCAGACTATGTAACAATCCCAGCAACATTGGGTACAGATCGGACCCCAAAAAACGCTGGTCATTTCTACTACTTAAACACATGCAACTTGTCGGGAAGGCAACACATGCTACTTTCTGAGAAAAGGACGGCTCAAGCAACAAATGGCTCTGTCTCATAAAAGGTACCAACAAAAATCCAGTGCTTTGTCATACTTTTCTCGAACCGGTGAACATACTGCTATTTTGGGGTTATATGCTATATCTTCCGTTTTTGGACAAACAATGTATGCCACATTTCGACATGTTTCGACGGCACCCTTCTTCACGGAGATCTGCTGTCGTCTTTTCAGCAATTTGGTCGGAAGCGTCACATTCGAATCGACCGAGGCGTTTAACGCCTGTAATGTGGTAAACCCAAATGGTAAATACCAATTGATTTTTTTTGGGCTCTAGATTCTGATACTTTGAATATCTTTGAATACCTCAAATGCTAAACTTTGGGCAACTGGGGATGGTTTGTTGCGTTTTACCACATCCGTCATCCGATTTTTCTCTCCGGGTCTCCGCGTCATCACACCTCGCGGAAAGGCCGTTTGCATCCCAAGTTTGGATGGAAAACTTGGATTTACTGAAGGAATCCAGAACAAAAAATGACCGAAAATCCCTATAGATTCCCCATGTTTGGTGGATTTCCCCTTGGGAAAATACACATTGACTCATAAAAATCAGGTTTAGGGATGATCAACAAATTCACCAGAAGTTTTCCCACTCAACGTCTGTCCGACAGCGGTTTGAATGAGCTTCTTGATGCTCCATATGTGGTAAACCGGTAAACCCAATGCCATCACCATAGTCACCATAGTCACCATCCAACGAGGCGATAATGGGATGGATTATCCCATCGGATCTCATTCAGATTCCAAGAAAAAACGCAACTAAATTGTTGGTTAAATATGGTTAAATCCCAGTGAAATATGGTGAAATATGGTTTAACATCTCATTTTTTGAGATTCTGAAAATTCACCATTGATATCCACATCTGATTTTTTCGATCGCACGTATATATAATGGAAAAAATCATTGGGGATCTTCATGCCCTGAGCAGCTCATGTGGCTCATGTGTAAGGATGGAACAAGAAAATGTGAACGAAACCGAGCACAGAGTCTGTAGTTGTCGAGCTTGTTGTGACCTGAGATTGCGGCTTCAGGGGGACCAATTTTTCGTAGGATCCAACTTGAAAACGTCTATATGTAAGCACCACTCCCCGGCCAACTGCAACTGCAACTCCAACTGCAACATCCAAAAAACGCTGAAATGTTCAGCTTCAAATCTTCAAACCCAGATGAGTCATTAACAATACAACTATGCCATCCTTCACATTCGATGGTTGATGAGGGATTCCCAGTGGATTGTGATAATCCCCATCAAGCCAGGTAGTATAATCCCCTGTACTAACCAAGAAACTAATAAACAATGGAAATCTTTAACGGCTCAGATAAAGCCGTATAAACCTCCATAGTATGAAATAACTCTCATGTGGTGAAACTCCTACTTCGACTGGCTCCCACCTAGGATAATAGGATCATCATTGGCATAGACCATCCCAAAGAGAACCAATTTTTAGACAAACCCGTATAAATTGAAAAATAAAATAATAGGGACATAGGGATAATGATTCCATACTAGTTGATAATAATTGATGATATCCCCAGCCATCACGTGTTTTTCCCAAACAAAACAACACATGGAGATGGGTCAAAACCTATTCCAGTGTCGGAAAAAAACAACTACCAGCTATAATCAACTATCTGGGTAAATAATAATAATTCACTAACCTGAATTAAGGCCCATTTGGGGATGATTTCCCTTATTAACTATGATTCCAGGGTTCGGTCGCGACGTGAGGTCGTTATAATTTACCTTTTGGGCTTTTGACATCGCCATGATCCCAAGATATCCCAAGATATCCCAAGATATCCCAAGCCACATTGCTTCGTAGCGTCGTGCTGTTCGCTTGCACGTAGCGCCGATCGCGTCGCCTGCGGTAGGCTGGACGCCGGGGGCGTCGCTTGTGGCGGCGGTTCGGGATGGGTGCCGCCGGAGAGCGGCCAGAACGGCCGGTCTGCAATAGAGCTCCTGGGGATCGTTGGACCGGGATTCTGCATAGAGGTGAGACCCGCCAGTTCCGTTCTGTTGGTTTACGAACACCATTAAGTATAGTAATATTCCCTATAAAATCCTATTTAACCAATTTGTAAATCACCTATACCTTAGGTAAACTAACAAGACGAGGTTGCAAACCAATGTACAGTATATGTATTTATATGCGTGTCTGCCTGCGTGTCTATGTCCATGTGTGCAATGAACTGTGCCAATGTGTACGTGGATATATGCACACTATGTATGACTGGGTATGTACATAGAACATCATAGAACTGGGTTCAACTGGATATATATCATATGTACATATATATATAACATACATATATACTTGTACAGTAACTGTATAAGTATATATGTATATAGTCAAACAGGGGGACGAACCGAGAACCCAGAAAAGTAGGGAACCACAATCCGACAAACCCTGCATACGAAAACAACACCAAGCGCGCAGCTTTTGTGCACTTGAGCCAAGGGGTCGGCAGCGTACCTACCTCTACCTATGACTACACTCCATATCTATAGAACAAGACATGGGGTGCAATATCTGTACATATATTCGGATGCACTACTTCGGAAGTATTGGGAATCATAGCTACAGCATGTCTCCACAGACCTACTACCTGTGCTATACATAGTGGGGCTCAGGCGTCGATATATTTCAACTCCCCCCTCGCCTGTTCCACACGTACTGCGCATTTGCAGTCACCTAAGCAACTACTGTCGCGCGAACGGGCGTCCACAGCGACCTATGCTTTGGCTTTAAGGTCTAAGGGAAGGCCAGTACGTATTCCTAAAAGGATTAGTGCTGCTGCCCATTTGTGTGGAGGCAATGCCTTGGTGAATATGTCTGCCGCCTGGTCATCGGTATTGATATACTCTATCATCTCTATCAGGGCAGAGTCATCTTTGAAGATTTCAGACAGGCAAGACAGATTTACTTCATGCGTTTTAGCTATATGGCGAAGCTTAATAGGACTATATCCTTTCTTCACGACTAGGATTGTTGCTTGATGTCTTCGTGAACTCTGAGGGTTACGGAGCGTGCGAGCAACAGCTCCCATAACTGTAAGGCAGGCAAGCCTTCTTGATAAAGCGAGTGAGCCAGACTCACTACTTCGCTTTCCGTGGTCGATCTAGAAGTGGATGTTTGACGCTTGCTAATCCACGCAAGCGGGAAGAAGGAACTAGGGCCAGATCAAGCCAGAAAGCCACCAGAGGTCGAGCGTGCTGTTGACTTATCGCGGGCGAAGTCGGCATCGACGAATAGTCTAAGCTCGAGGTCTTCAGGTTTATCCTGAATGGTACCTACTAACCTATAGTGTGGGGTCGAGGCTATGTACTGGATTAGTCTAAGGACCTTCTTATCATCCCCCCTGGACCACGACTGGACCTTTGTGGCCAGATCATTGATAGGCTTGATTATGTCGGGACGTGCAAGCCTACCTAACCAAAGGGCTTTCATCAATATCTTACATGCATTGGGAGCTAGTTCCCCTTTAGTCTCCTCATCCTCAGTGGTGATGGATCCTTCAGGTGGAAATGGCGTAGCGGCATGCTTGGGTTTTGAAATACCGGTTATTGTTGTATACAAATCTACGGTCTGTTGAGCGTAGTCTGCCATATCAAAAACCATGCCTGCTTGGGATTGGAAGGCTGCACACTTCTCATGACCTTCGGCCTTGGAGAGTGGGGTAACAACATGGTTACGTCCAAGAATCCTATAGATGGGCTCTGGGGGCTCTATGTCTACCACAGAAGTTAACTTACTCCAGAATGCATCATGCTGGTCAGCAGGGCCAGCTAGAGTTAAATCGTCTACATAAGTGGACAGAAGTAACTTAGTTTCTGGGAAGTAAAAGTTTCCTGGGTATTCAGGCGGAGTATTCAGGCGGAGTATTCAGGGACCTCTTGCCCTCCAAGGTTCTTGATGATGACTTTTAGGTGTTGCTCCCACAGGCCTCCGGCATCGGGATGACCGTATAAGGCTTTGATTAAAAGGACTACGGGCTTAACAAACTGTTGCTTCCCTTAGGGCGGAGCTCAGGAGGGAGCTCAATCCAAGTTTTATATTTTGAAGACAACAGCGCTTGAACGTAAGCTTTGACCGCATCGGCGGCTGTCGCGCGGTTTCCCGGCAGCGACCCATACGCTAAGCAGGCGTTGAGCCGTTGGACGGAGGTAGGATTAGCGCCGAGTTCTTGATAGACGGCCGCTGCACCATGCTCGTCTTTCGCGCAGTCTCCGCGGTAGACTATGCGACCCTTCATCTTGTGAAGATGGTCAGCAAGTTCATAGAATTTGATGGACGCAATGGTCATTAACTGACCAAAGTGTACGGATACACCGGAAGCTTTAGCTTCCTTGCGAACGTCTTCCTTTTCGCGGACTGAGCTGAGATTCCATGTGCCTGCTTTGACTAAACCGTCAGCTTCGGCGCGAATTGCCTCAAGCGCTTTAGGGTTTGACAACATCTCTGCACGAGACAGAAGCTTAGTGACCATAGCTTTGATTTCGGGAGGGGAAGGATAGCTACACCAGAAACAGTGGCAGCAGGCTCGGCGGGAGCACTGGGTTCGGCTGACCCTGGTGGTTCTTCATCTATAAAGATACTTTTGAAAAGCTCTTTTAATCGTGGGAGAGGTGTGAAGGGATTGGGTCAGAGATTTCCTCACCTCGGAAAATAAAACCATGGGCTTCATCCTCCTTGTCTTCTACTTCGGTTTCACTTGCTAGTGGAGCTTTCTTTTCCCTTTCAGCTTCCTTTTCTTTTTCTACCAGCACTGAGAAGCGGGCTCTGCACTCATCAGTGTGCGCACGTGAGTGGCCAGTGCAGCCTTTGCAGCCAGGTGTCTCTTTCCATTTAACGGGGCTGTCCTAAACAACTCCGTGTAGTACCTAACAGCTGCCTAACAACTGCCTAGGGATGTTTGATGCTTAACTCTACTCTATTTTTTCCTTTTATGAATCCTCTGCCATCTTTTTTTCTCTCCGATTGGACAAAGTTCGCTGGCCAAGGATGGCCTCAGAAGCACACAAACAAGATGGACCTTATAAAATACTCTTTGGAAACGTTCTACGCGTTGCGTGTGGTCTTTCAGTACATGGTTTCCGGTGCGACGAAGATAGCAGCAAAAAATGCATATTCGGCAACAATATATATATATATTATACAATTTTTTTTGGTAAATCTATATACATGCAAATATATATATATATATTATATACATGTAGATACAGGTGCACCGCGCTCCCCACGAAAAAGTTGGCACATGTTGGCACTTTATTTGCTGAGGTATCACAGCAAACCCAATAGAATATTTCGAATCAAACCAGCAGGATTTGTTCAGGCATGACTTGGTGTTTCTACCACAGTAACTTATCATGTATGAACCCCCCCAGTGATGTGAGATGGTCACCGCCATCCAGTTCTCCCGTAACATGCCACAGATTCTAGCAGATGATAATGGGGACTTTCATAGCCTTCATTATGTATGGCTGCAAACACCCAAAACAAGGTCTCAACTGCTTGCAGACACGGGTACCTGAAACATCGAATGAACCGTTTTAATGAACAAGAAAACCATTGTTAACCTGTATCTATGATCCCAGCTAAGTAACAAAGTGGCACCTCTCTCCCATTGCATGATTCGTTTTGGCTGGATTATTTGATCTCCCATTCATTGGAGGATGATGTTGCGATTTCCCAATTTGGCTAAACAACGTCCACCAGATAATGGTTATGGCAGATCCCAGAGGCGCCACAGCTCCAAAGCACAGCCGCCACAGCTGCAAAGCACAGCCGCCACAGCTGCAAAGCTCAGCCGCCACAGCTGCAAAGCACAGCCGCCACAGCGGCAAAGCACAGCCGCCACAGCTGCCAGAGCAACCCCAACCCCACAAATATTCGGTGGAGGTTGCTTTTCACACCCCAATATGGCCCAAAACGAACCGTCTAGGCCCCCAATTTGCCCCACAAAGACCTTGAAGTGGCCATAAAATAGGCCCGGCAAACATTCGGTTGAGGTTGCTTTTCACACCCCAATATGGCCCAAAACGAACCGTCTACGCCCCCAATTTCCACTTCAAAGACCTTGAAGTGGCTACAAAATAGGCCCAAAACCAACCCCAACCCGACAAACATTCGGTTGAAGTTGCTTTTCAAACCCCAATATGGCCACAAACGAACCGTCTAGACCCCTAATTTGCCCAACAAAGCCCCCAAGACTGATATGGCTGATTTGTTTTGCCAGATGGGGATTGCCGTCATGGGCGGTCGTGTGGGTCATATGGATACTCCAATTGTTTCTTTTTTACCCGTGTAACTAAATCACAAAGGCCGCCAAACCAAATCATTTAAGCCGAAAATCCGTCAGCGGCGAAATGTTGTAGCCCAAATGCTGCAGGGACAGGTACTGCGTGTCATCAAGCGTGAGTTTTTCCAGGCGGAACCTGGGCCAATGTGGAATGAATGCAAAGCGTCAATTCAACAATGCTAGCACAGATTCCAAAGCCTGGAAAGATCACATCTGTTCGCCATATCAAATCATGTTCTGGAGGAAACAACAAACTTGAGATGTAGGGCTTTCATATAGGGCAGCTGTTGATTGCCAGGGCACCCCGTCTGCTGCCCACGTGAGCCCAACCAACAAATCACTGCTGCCACCTTCACTTCGGAAAACAGCATCTTCTTCGTGGCCTGGGCACAGGCACCTACCAAAAACAAATGAGCTTTATATTGGCACGGTGTGCGTATCAGGCTTTGTAGCTAGCTTGTTTTCATGTGATTTCTGGCCCAAGTCAAATCATCAGCACGGAAGAGCCTCGTCACCTACGGGTTTTTTCACCAAATTTTTCTCCAAGAGCGGTCTCACCGATTCATTCCCTGAGCGGTGGCTATGGAGGTCGGAGTTTATCCAAGCTTTGCGCAAACCAAGCCTGTCATTGACATGCAATCTATGTGGGTTTTATTTTTCGGCCGGCTAACTATAGGGGGTTTTCTTCGCCAAAAGAATCTTTGTTTCCACAAATGGCAATGGCCTGTTTGTACATGAAAGAGTGTTCCCGTCCGTCTCCACGGCGATGTCTCCATGGTCAATACATTTGTATATGAACACTTCTAAAGGAAGTCTGTGTGTAAATATTATTTATTTATGTTGAAAAACAATACGCACATTTACTGCCGGATATCCCATGTGCAGAAACTCCCGGACAATAAATTGGGCACAGGTACCGTCATTTTCTGCAAAACTCCAAAAGACATGTCTGAAGTCCTTGGACTGGGGAGAAGAATCGTCGCCGATCATCTGCATCGTGACAACGAAGTTCAACGGCTGGAAGTCCAGCTTGGCGTTGTTATGCATGTCCCAAAGGGCTGTCTCGAAGCCTCCAAATAGAAATTCTCTGGGATGTGTGTTTCGATATGCTATATTGAAATTTGAGGGGTGTAAAATCATAGTTGCCAAATCCTGGACTCAATGAACATCAGCGACAACCACCAGCATGGGTTTCCTATCAGTCAATCCTAGCAACCTTTCTTGTATGGAATTTGCTCATGTGGTGCTGTCACGCACTGTCATTGTCACGATGGTCGGCCGGAAATCACATCCCGTGGTATTTGAATTTGATCATGAATCTATCACACTGTCTCTCATTCTACAATGACCCGCAAAAAATACAATCCAAAGTAACATCGAACATCACGGCGTGACAAACATTCTGCTGGGCCGAGGCACAGTTTGCGCCTGGAACTTCTCCGGTGGAAAAGTTGCCCGCACCAAGCAAAAGGACGTTTTCTTCAAGAAATTCGATGTCCGCCATGCGGCTGTTCAAGATTTCTGTAACATTCGCAAACACTTTTCTACAAAAGATCAGGTGAGACCTCAGCAGCCAGTATCGTTCTTTTCGGGTCAAGTCCTTGCGATCCCTAGGAGCTACATCTTCTCTCAAATCTGCTATGGCTTTCCGAACCGGCCCCGATAAAAGTTCGTCCAGCTTTTCCTTCACCACTTTCGCGCTGACCGGTTCGCGATCTTGATTTTGGTCAGGAGCTTCGCCTTGACCATGAAGGGGTTCAGCTGCGTCATGGGGTTGTTCAGCACAATCGTCATCCTCGACATTGTGGTGTTCTTTTCCATCTGGAGGGATGAAATGGACAAACCTCTTCCGGAAATCGTTCTGAAGGTCAATTTTGAGGCCTCCACACTTTTTGAACTCGGCATATGTTTTCGCTTGTTTGTACTTTTGTACTTTTCAAATCTCTCGGCAGCTGCACTTCCCTTCCTTTTGGTGCCCCTCTTGTCAAACACGAGTTCCCAATTGTCCTCTAGCTCAACAAAGCGCCGGACATCTTTGCTGGCCATGGCAAACACACGAAGTGGTTGAGATCCGTCCCAAGAAAACAACCCTAATGATTCAGATCTGCGTGCACCTTGGGGATACCAAGAGTCAACTTCTGATGGCGACTATAACCTGTATCCATGGTGATGTTTTATTATTGCATTGAATGGCGGTGGCTGGCCACTTGTTTGCTAAATTCATTATCATTCAGATCTATAACATGGTCACTGGTCGCTGCTGTCCGTCAACTTGAGCTTGGAATGGACAATGGATACACCGGAAAGTGCGCCAGGCACAGTCAACAGTGGTTTCAATGTTGATAATTAAAACGAAAATGGGTTTCATTTGGCGCAGACCGGCACATATTCGCTGCAAAATGAAATTTCCACCCGAAAAATGCCCCACAAACCCAATGGGATTTCATGATCCAGCGCATGAAATCCAACCCGGCAGAATTCAAACAAAAAACTTACACAAAAAAGCAAAAGATGAGTTGCCCGCACGCCTCTGCCACTCTTCACACATCAACGCTTTCCTCCGAGGAAATCACAGTGGCCATGGGTCATCTCATGGTACAATAAATCACTGGTGTCATTCTCTCCATGGACCTTCACCATTCTACATTCCCTGCATGATGCCTTGCAGCCTCCTACATACATAAATCCCAAAACCTGAGAAACCGATGAAAGGAAACCGACATTCGTGTTCGAGAACTTTTTTTTTTGTATGGGCCACATTGATGAAACCTTGGCGAAGCAGCAGCAGCAGCAAAAACTTGCCACGCATGATGCCCACTTGCATCCTTTTGGCACTGTGGCAGGCCATTGCCAAGCTTTAGGTTTGAGGTGATGCCAAACACAAAACAAGATTATACTGTTTAACATTGTTTGTCTATGATATTCGCATATTTACTACTGGAGGTTTACAACAATAATCAACACACAATCATAATGAAGCCTTTTGTTTTCTCTGATTTTGGTTTTCCCCGCGACATGTCAAATCTGAAGCTGTTACGGGAACACCATTTTCAATATATTACTTTCTTGTCAAGGTGATCAACCAAGTTATGTTTTGCAGTTTGCAGTTCCACTTGATGCAAACCTCTGGACCTAATTCATCTGGATATCGATGTTCAAAGAAACTTTGTCACTGTCGAATGGTTATGATATTAAGTGCCAAACTTTTGAGAAATCAAAAGCATCCGCTTTGAGCATGAAGTCCTCAACCCCATCGCACTGCAATCAATCAGATTGAGATGGATCGGGACCCAAACATCCATTTTTGTGCAATGGAAAAATAGGAAATGGACACCGTATGTTTTGCATTCCTTCTTATCGTGATCTCATCACAATTTCGAGGCTGTGAAATAGGTTCACAAGGTTGTCTGAGATTCCTTTTTCTTTCGGGTTGTGGCTGCTGCTGCTGCCTCCGAAAATGTTGCTCTGGTCAACTGCCCTGGCAGAAACATCATGTTGATTGAAGAAAAAAACATGGATTTGTAGTGCAAACTCCCAAATATGACTTCTTTTACTTACAACCCCATGCATATTTTATGCACCGCCCTGCCCCCCTCCCCCGCAGAACGCGCTCAAAGGAAAGTTCTGATTCGTCGAAGTTTAGAAGAGATGGCGAAAGCGATGTAACGCCCGTTTGAAGTTCCAAGTGCGCTGCGTGTGACACGTTGTGGAATGCGTGGCAGGCGCAGGGGTTCGTGGGGGTTGCAAAAACTTGGCAGGCGTGCCGGTGCCTGAAGTGAGAAAGGAATTTCGTTTGGCTGGCGCAGGGGACCAGAGAATGTTTTTGAACATCACACATTAACTAACATCTTCATTTTTGGATATCACGTCATCTGACAGGTGTGAAACTCTTTCGTGGCAGGCCCAGTATTTTTGACACATGAACTGCAAAATTACTAAATAAATTGCATTGGAATGGACCGAGTTCGACATCAACATGCAATTTTTAAGCAGAGTCTCCCCCTGGAGCAGCTTCGTTATCATGGCTTCGAACCCAATTTAGACATAGTTCAATATAATATATGGATGGATGAACTGGACGATTTGTAGGTGGATAGATTCAAGTGGATAAGATCGAAAGATAGGTAAAGTCAGGTATAGATAGGCATGGATAGGTATATAGATATAGATATAGATAGAGATATAGATATTAGATATAGATATTAGATATAGATATAGATATAGATATAGAGATACAGATCGATAGACTAATAGATAGATGGATAGATGGATAGATAGATAGATGGATGGATAGATAGAACGAAGGAAAGCAATGCTAGATAAAAGGAATAAATAGAGAGGAAAGGTTAGATAGGCAAGGACAGACAGGAAAGGATAAATAGGATAGCGTAGATCATGAGGGTAGGTTACGGTAGGGTTGGTTAGATTGGATTTAATCATGAGATTAGACTAGACGAATAGAAAGACAGAAAGATAGGTAGGTATATAGAATAAAGAGATATATATATAAAGATACTAAATGAAATTAAACAAATCAATAAGCACAGAGATAGACTTACAGTGGCAGACTCCAAGCATCTTGCGACCCGATCTGTCGTCGAACCGCCTGGCCATCCTTGCAACCCAACAACCTCTTCCTATAGATCTTTACCATTTTGAAACTTCCGACACAGGCTTCCCTGGTAGTACTGGTGCGAATTGGGACCGTCCAACTTTGATTGCTCTGTTGGTTAAAAAGTCAACATGTTCTTGTACAAATCTGGCGGTCGCCGGCTAACAGAAAACACACACTCACTGGCCTGGGCCGAACCAGACGCTCGCCAGCATGTTCAAATTAACGACCTTGGGGGTGTTTTAGAATCTTAAGATAACCGCACAATGAGTCAAAACTACATTGAAGGAAACTTGGAAAGTGCGAAACAAATTGTGTTTCTCAGCAACGAATTTGATCCGTCAGAATAGGTGCGACAATGATCCACAAAAATTGACACCAGAAAGAAAGCTTGAAATCACATGGTTTCTCGCAGCGCCTTGCCAAGGCCAAAAGCAAAAGACTATGTGCCGGGTGTCCAGGAATCCTTGCAGGATGCTTTTCCTAGCACGTTTCTGTCATGCCAGGGTAGTAAAACAAAACAAAGTTGGTTCCATCATGCTTTTCACCATTCTGGTTTCGCGCGTTCCAGGTGTCCTTCAATACAGATTTGAGACCACTGACATGGTAAATGGCGGTTCTCAGCAACAAATTTGATTCGTCAGAAAAGGTGCGACAATGTCCACATATTTGGACACCAGAAAGAAAGTTGGAAAACATATGATTTATCGCAGAGCCTTGCCAAGGCCAAAGACAGAAGACTAAGTGCCCGGGCGTCTTTTTTTGGTCCCCACACTTTTCAATGCCGAAGCTTTGCGCTTTGCCTTGGGGGCAAAATGTGCCAAATTATCAAAACCGAATGGGTCGAATTGCACCGAAATCAAAAACCTGGAGTGAGAATGCTCTTTTTTCTTCTAACTCAATTCAACGCAACCCTTGCATTGGAAAACGGACTGAAGCATGTCAATACCAAAAACAACAAAAAACATCAAGTGTGTCAGCCAAAATGCATATCGGGAGAATTTAGATGTCAGAAATCCCGACTTGTTGGCACAACTCACCCATGGCCCGTGGCATGTTGATCAATAAGAACGGAACATCCAAGGGGCCTCTGCGCTTCTGAATGGCTCATCCGCAAGGGCCTGCCACTCTGCTTGGATCTGCGGACGAGAGGAATGCCGCCAATTGTTGAGCTGGCAGCCCTTCCCACCCTGTGTGGACAGGTTGCGAATTACCTGCACCAATTTGCAGAGGCCGGCCAGTGTTTCGTCCAAACCTGGTGGAAAGGAAGCTGAGCGGGCGGACGTGTGACATCTGCAGGCACACACACGAACAATAATATATATATATATAATTCAGACCACGTTCCAGCTTAAAGTGGCTTAAATCATTTCACGCGCGCGTGAATCATGAGCCAGTGGTCAACCCCAGCAGAAGAAAAACGTGTCAACCCAAATGCTGTTCAACAGCAACAATTAGTGACACTGCATGCAGGCTAAGAAGGCCCGCCCAGGCACCAAGCTGGAGTCCACACGGCAGCTTTGCCAGCTCGGCATTGATTTTTTCGGTGACCCTCAGCATGCTGATGCTGGAAGATGGGACAGCACAAATTACCTTTACTTAGAGTGATCCCCACCATGGAATATCAAAAAAACATATATATATATATGTATATGTATATATATGTATATATATATATATGTATATATATAATATTATGTTGCCATACATATTTGAAACACATCCTGACATTCTTTCTGGCAATCTATCTGGCATTCTTTCTGGCAAATGATGTGGCATTCTACCTGCCATTCTTTCTGATATGTTTTCTAGCATTCTATCTTGCATTCTATACCTCTGATAAAACCTAACAGCCCTCACCTGGCGGGTGGGGAAAAACAAAGCATGGTTTCAGACCTGCTGCATGCAATTTCAAGAATCGCTTTGTTGGCGCAGCAAAGATCTTGTTTTCAATAAATTCCTCGAAATGACATTTACGCCTATATATGGAGACAGCTACGGGGAAAGAAAAGCCGCTTTGTTGCTTGAAAAGCCTTTGAGCCAAGTTGCTGTTCTTCACTGGCTCCCTGGAAGAGCCACCGAAGGCACAAACTAGTGCGGGTGCCGCTGCCCTTCATGTTTGGCAGCTTGACTTCGGCTGCAGCATCTTTTTTGGAGCAGGCCAAGCTCCTGTGAGGCATTGCAATCAGAGTTCTCCAATAGCTCCAACAGGTTCCAATTTGCTAACGCTGGTGGCTAGGAAATGTGGACGCAAAATTTTCCATCCACC